AGGCAGGGTCGCCGGGCGCCCGGAGGCGTCAGCGCGGGGGGCCTGGGCTGGGCGGCTCGGAGACGGGCTAGGAGAGGTGCTGAGGGGAGACCGAGGCAGCCCGGGCGCCGAGGGAGGTGAGGGGCCGGCAAGGGTTTCCGGGACGCCCGGGCCCCCCCGCCGCCCCCGCCCCAGGTTCGGGCCCGGTATCGCGGGCGGCTGACGGCGCCGCGGGTGACAAGCCACCCCGGGCCCATCGGCCATTTTCCCGACCGGCCCGGGAGGCTCCCGCCGCCGCCCGCGCGGGAGGGGGAGGGGTGTCCGGGGCGGGCCGGCGGGCTCCGGTCCCCGCGGCCGGCCGGCCTCACCCTGTTGCCCCCTTCGTGCCCCGCAGGCCCCGGGCCTGATTCCGCGCCCTGCGCCATGCCGAGGGAGACGGAGAGGTGAGTGGCCCGGCGCCTGCGGGGAAGGGCAGGGCGTGCAGCGGTGGGGGAAGGGAGGTCCCGGATCTGGGGGCAGCTCACCCTCAACCTCTGTGCCACCCTGGCTTTGCAGGGATGCCAAGGAGCCGGGCACCATGAAAGAGGACGGCGGCGCCGATGTCTCCGTTCGCTCCAGGAAGAGGAAGGCAAACGTGGCCGTTGTGAGTACAAAGGAGACAGGTGGGGGAGGATGGCCCCGTCATCTTACCTGGGTACCAGACTGGGCTCTGCCCACGTGCACTGATGGAGGGCAGCGGAGGGGTGGTCCGCGTTTGCAGAAATAGCGCCCGGAACCTAACCAGCCTCCCTTCTCTCTTTTGTGTTTTTGTCTTTGGGATGTTTGGTGTGTTTCCTTGGGGCTTGTTTTATGTTAGTTTTTGCAAGATCCTGATGAAGAAATCGCCAAAATTGACAGGACTGGGAGAAGCCAGTGTGGCAGTCAGGTAGGTTCCCTTGCCGGCCGGGACTGAGCGGAGCGCCTCCTGCGTTTCCTGGGCCAGCTGGGCCTCACGCCGTCTTGCCTCTTGCTGAGCTGTTTCCCTGTGGCTGAGCACCGCGCCTGTCAGTGGGCACTGACCTCTGCCAGTCTTGGGATCCCGGGAAGGTCCTGTGTTGCAAATAATGTGCTAATGTCTGGAAGAACCAGAATGGACATCAAATAACTCAGTCCTCTCCTTTTGCCCTTGAGGAAACTGAGACTCAGAGGAAGAAGTGAACCCAGAGCCCTATGCAAGGCAGGGGTGGGGTCTGTCCTGCGGCCTTGTCTCTAGTCTGGTGAGCTGGGAGGAGGGCTCCTGACACAGCTCTCTGGGTAACTGTGAGAAGGGGGGTTTGTGTGTGTGCATAAGAAAGGCTTCTCTCCCACCCACACTTGTGTTTTTCCCTCCTGGTGCCGAAGGACCGCCCTGGGCCCTCCTACTGCCTTTAGGTCAGGTTCAGAACTCCCCCCACACTTCTGGAAGTTTTTCCAGCCCCTCCAGCAGTTACCTACCATGTGGTCACTGCTGTCTGGGCCTCTGCCTGGCCTCAGTCAGAGTATTAGTGGAACATTCTATGTAATGATATGTGTGTTTCAACACTTTTTTGTTGACTAGCTCATTTCTCCTGCCCCTCCTTCATGGACTTCCCGCCAAATTTCCTGCATGCTCATGATATCATTATAATATCAGAAGTTCCTGGCAGAAAAAGCTTGTATTATCTGTCTACCTCCAGAAATGGCTGGAGACTGTAGTTACGGCTCCAGCAGGGAAAGCAGCCTCTCTCCAAACCAGCGATCAGGCCTTCTGACCCGAGCACAGATAAACCTGAGCAGAAATGGTGTCTGGGCGGAAGGCCGTGGTCCTGACCAGATGGGCATTGGGTGTGGCATCAGCCACGGCGCGTGGGAGAGTGAAGGGCTTCCAAGCTCTGGGCCACTCTGTTTGCAGTAAGTGCCCCGGCACGGAAGACCCTATTCATTAGCATTTGTGGGGTGGCTCATTGAACAAGGGGTTGATGGTTTCCTTCTCTCATAGAAGAAAAAAAGACGTCACTTTGGGAAAGGAAATAAGATAGTGCATCCCCAGTTCTTTCCTTTTTCACGTTTTCAAACCGCGCAAGTTGATTTTTGTGAGTATGAGAAAATGGACCTCTACTTTGAGAAATGCAAGATTGGTTATTTGCTCAGCTGTGTTTTGAATTGAAATTTCCACCTGAGGTGAAGCAAAGCTGTCCATATTGAGCTCTTGGAGCTGTAGGTAATTTTAATGTCTGTTCACACGGATCCCCAAGTGGCACCTGGGCTGCCTAGACGGAGCTGTGGCCCTGTCCCTGGGCTACGGACAGTTGTGATATGTGAATAGCCAGACTATTTCCCACTGGAAGGCATCTTCGTGGTTGTCCAGAGATTAATGACAACAGGTTTCTGCACATTTTGAAAATTATCCACCCGTTTATCGAGCAGTCACCTTGATGCAGACTCATGAAGCTAGAAGTTTGGGGTAACACAACCTTTTTGCCTGTTAACTACCCAGAATGACACAATTACCATGGGTCAGCCCGAATAACAGCCTTGAGTGACTTGTAGCCATCATGCCACGCTCCATGCAAGCTCCAAGCTCCAAGCTCCATTAAGACCACAGGGAACCTTTGCCTCTTACCCTGGGCCTGTCTTAATGAAAAGAATACCTTTTATCTTAAGTCCACTTAATACATCCATTTTGTTGTTTGATTTTACTGAAGTGGAATCCTGGACTTTCTGTTAGTTACTTCTCAGAACATAATTTTGCGTAACGTAGTTGTATTAATTAAAAGTAGCATAAGGAGTCAGGGGTGGTTAGGAATCGTCGCGATTGGTCTCTTGCTATTACCTCACTCCTTCTTAAAGTCAGACTGATCTTGCTTCCTTTGAAACATGTATACACTCCAGTGACAGGACACAGACTTATACACTGGCTCCTGGAAAGGCCAACTTTGGGAACCATGTGTCTGCTGGTGGGTCCCTCAATTTGTGAGCTGCAGGCTGGAAACCGCTACTAGTTTGTACTCAAAGGCCTGCTCTCAGCCATCCAGCCGTCCGGCTGTAGAGGGTGGTATCCAGCTTCTGCCTTCAGAACTAGAATTCATTCTTGAATGAAGAGCAGCTAAAGCAGTTGTAATGTGACCCTTTTTGAGTTGAGGAAATGCTCCCAGCACACTGCTGGAACTAGAAGAGGAGGCTGCCCTCCAGCAGCTGTTGGCAAGAGCTGTCGTGGTTAATTTGCTTGCCCAGTTCTGTGCACGTTGCTGGAGAAGGGCTCGGTCCTGCTTTGCTCTTCCCAGGACCCTGAAAGTGCTGTGGCTTCCTCTGAAAGAGGCTCGTGTGCTGTGACAGCCATCCTGGACCATGTTTTTCAGGTAGATTTAGAGCCAAGTTTCCATGGTCATGTATAGTCATCTCAGAACATTAATGATTTCTCTGCTTTCGAAAAAAAAAAAAAAAGAATGCCATGAGTGTCAGACTTTCAAAGTGCTTCCACACTGGCAGGATTGTTACCTGCCATATCTTCAACAAAATCACTGTTTTATAATGTACAAAATCAGTCATATACAGACAACAGAAAGGAGGTTGCCAGAGGGGCGGAGGGATGAAGAAGGTGAAGGGGGTCAAATCCATGGAGACGGAAGGAGACTGCACTTTGAGTGGGGAGCCCACAATGGAGTATTCAGATGTATTATAAAGCTGTACACCTGAAATTTATTTAATGTTATTAACCAGTGTTACCCCGATAAATTTAATAAAAATGAATCAATCATAGGCTTCTTTTTAGACTAGGACAATAAACAGAGCAGCTTTAAAAAGAAAATTTCCTAAATGGCAAAATGACCTTGGTATTTTCCAGATATTGAAAATTGAATAACAGTAGGTATCTGGAATCTTTAAAAGAAAAGCCTGTTCTTTTGGTTTTTAAAGATGGTTATTCACTTATGAGTTGAGTCTTACTCAGGTGCAGGGCTTTGGGGTCAGGATTCAGAGGTCTTCAGGGGTATCTGTGCTCTGTCTCCAGAGTCGTCTTAGTAGAACCTGTGACCGTTGGTTGATTGGGTTTTAACGGGGCAGGTGTTCTTTTTGTCTTGTTTTGAGTTAAGGAAAACAAAAGGTCCCCATTATGTAATATCTTTGGCTAGTCCTGCGACCAAAGGAAGATGTCACATTTGATGTGACATTTTGTTTTAAAATGGGGAGACTTTAATTATAGATGGCAATTTACATTTGTGATCTTTTATACTTGTGAATGTGGAGTGCTTGTATAAATACTTCTGTTGTAAATTCTACTATTTTCAAAAAATTTTTAGTTGTACTTGATAAAAAACAAATCTTTGAGTTGTGACTACGTAATCCCACAATGCACTTCGGTAGTCATCCCCAGTGTCTCACTGTGCTACAAACGGATTCATGTGTATATATACTTTTTGGTAATCTAAAAGCTGTTTGCATTTCGTCTTACCCCTCGTGCACCCATTTTGCTGCTCAAGCACCACATATGATAATGATGATGTGGACGATAAAATACTACTGACCTTGTAGTTTTCTTCGATATTTCCTCCATGGACTCCTACGCTGTGATAGCAGTGAGCGAAAGCTTGGGGTCATTACTGTGGCTCTTACGCATCCACGCCATCACCATCTTAATTTAGGCCAGAATATCTATTCAGGCCTGGAACTTGCTCTCCAGTGTAAAGACATGTTTTGAATTACTGGCTGTTCTACAAATCAATGAATGTAAAAAGAGCTGCTTTGCATCAAACCTTTAAAAACATGTTTCTCCTTTCCAGCCTTGGGACAGCGGTCCAGTGAGTGAAAGCCCCTGCTCCCTGATCCCCACACCTGACAAAGAAGAGGACGAGCTGGTGTACCCGCACCCCACGCACCAGCCTCACAGCGGCAGGCCGGCCCGAGCCTCCCCGCTGCCCGTGCTGAAGTACGTGGCTGCCCAGTGCCTCCCATGCGCCCATGGCCACTGGTGTGTGTGGCTGACCTGACCCCTGTCTTTTGTTTTTGTAGCTGGGCAAATCGAGAGGAGGTCTGGAAAATCATGTTAAACAAGGAGAGGACGTACCTAAGGGACAAGCACTTTTTACAGCGGCACCCTCTCCTGCAGCCGAAAATGCGGGCGATTCTTCTGGACTGGCTGATGGAGGTGAGCTGGTCTCCCTGTTAGCGGGAAGCACCAATCCTTTCTAGAATCCTTTGTGCTGTCACGACCTCCTCGTGAGTTTGATCCCACTGGCGCGCTCTGAGTCTCTGAAGCTGTGGCACATTTACTACCATGGTCGAACATGGCTTGCATAAGTCCTTCAAAGAATTTCTGAAGTCTCTTTGTCCATTAGGTACTTTTAAATTGGCATCTAATGTTTTTCATCAGAGCTTCAACAGTTGCAAAGGTCTTTCCCAATTAACTGTAAAAATTGATATTTGATCTTTGTTGATTAAATTGCTTTTAGACATGTCCAGTAGAATGCAGGTAACAGCTTTTCGATAGCCACTATCGTAAGTTTTAAAAATATATGAACAATAAATAGAAGAAGAGAAAAGAAAAAAAAAGAGAACAAGCTTACCTTTAACAGAAATCCTACATTGTTCCTTTTTAACTAACAAGATGTATCGGTCAAATCTTTTTTTTTTTTAATTGGGTAATTGGGGGGATGGGAACAGTGCTGGGGAATTGGGGGAAGGGGAACAGACAAGTTGCTGTCGTTTTGTTCTTCAGTCTAGTTGTGGAGGACGTTGCTTCACTGGCCCAAGTTGGCACCATCATTGCGCTCTTCCTGGGTGAGGCAGATCAGTCGCCGGCTTCTGGACGGCCGCTCACTGCGGCTGCTGGCTGCTCACGCTGGCTGCTGGCTACACACGGTAGCCCATGGCAACCCACTGCCACAGGGGCTGCAGCCTACGCCGTCACCGACGACTCACAGCAGCCCAGCTCCAGGTTGAGCTGCTGTTCAGCATCTTAGCTGTGGAGGGCAGTGTCACTGGCCCTCATATGTGGGATCAGAACCGGGGCCCTCTGGCGTCCCAAGCCAGTTCTTAACCATCGCACCACTCGGCCGGCCCCAGTCAAATATTTTATTGACCACAGTCACACTCCTGAAATAATTGGTCAAAAGAACAAGTATTACAAATTGTGATCGATAATTGTTAATCATAGAAAAGTACTGTTGTGTGGGCCACGCACTTCTTTCTGGAGGGACTCAGCAGTGCCTTGCTTAGGGACACTCCCTGGACACCACCTGTAAGCTGTGGCTGAGTGAGAAGGGGGCTTTCTTCCGTGACGTGGAAGGTCATCTCGCCAGATGGGTTTTACAAAGGAGTCCATGTGGGAGATGAGTGTGAACACCTGTATTAAGCCAGTTGTGCTGTGCTCATCCTCCTATCAGGTCCCCTCTGCCACTTGTCATCTGTGTGCCTTAGGCAGGCAAGCCACTCAGCTGGGAGCCTCGGTTTTCTCATCTGCACCGTTTTCTAGCAGTATTTTCCATGCAAAGTGTATGCGGATTAGAAATAGTGTATATGAAGTGCCGCTTCCATAGTGGGCACAGAAAGATGGCTGTTTTTTCATTCTCACTTTGCTTTTCTTCACTGGGACCTGGAATGTCAGTGTCAGCATTTGCTGTCTGAATTCCTTGGCAGAGCCTCGTAAGGCAGCAGGCTCATGTAAGATGACGGGCCTTGTGGTTGCCCAGCAGGCACGCGGCCCTTCCACGCCCCTTGGGACATTGAGTCCTTGCAGCACCGGAAGTAGTGTGCTTCAGCCTCAAGCTTCAGCTCACAAGGTGTTGGGACTGAGAGGTTCTATTTTATATAACACAGCGGATACCATCTACTTTGGACGAATGCGTTTCTCTGAAAGTCAATCAAAGCAGTCAGTAATAGCATTGAAAAGATAGAAAAGAATGGTGACCTTTATGTCGTCAAGGAGCAGAACTGGAGTTCACAGCTCACAGGCAGGCTTGTGTGCAGTGATGTTAAGTTCCTCAGCCCCGCCAAGATATCCCCGCGGGAATGGTGACACTTAGGCTGTGCACCTGCCGTGAGCTGGGCGAGCGGGGCTGAGTTTGTTCCTCAGAGAACAGGTCCGTTTCACCAATCAGACTGTAGTCGTGTTACTTTGTAAACACGACTCTAACTATGGCTTCACCTAAACTTGACAATCTGGTTGACTCTTGGTCCCCCCCACCCCACTCAGTCAAAATTCCACATATAACTTCTGACTCCCCAAAAACTTAACTACTAATAGCCCACTGTTGACCGGGAGCCTTATCAATAACAAACAGCTGCTTAACACATTTCGTATATTATATGTGTTATGTACTGTGTTCTTACAATAAAGTAAACTGAGAAAAGAAAGTGTTACTAAGACATTCACAAGGGAGAGAAAACACACAGTACTGTACGTATTTATTGGGGAAAAAATTGTGTATAAGTGGACCCATGCAGTTCAAACCCATGTTGTGAAGAGTCCACTGTACTCTTTGGCAACTAATGGAATTTTCTGGTAATGTTCCATTTGTCCTTTGTGGGTGCCTTCTCTACTTGTTAACCCTGTGAAGTGTACTTAGCCGGGATGTCCTGTTCAGGAATGGCCGGTTTATATGCACAGTATGCTGATGAGGTGAGGTCTGATATTAGCTTGGTCTTTCCCAACTGCATCATATACACTATTTTGCCGTTCCTCCAGCAACCCTGTGTAGTGGGGAAGCAGGTGTTGTCCTAGTTTTGTCCTTGAGATAATCTGAGAAAAATGGGTGTGTCCAGATGAAAGCCTAAACGAGGACCTGGGTTTCTGAGTTTTTGTTTAATGCCTTTTAAAAAAGCTTTTTCGGTTAAGAGCTCGCTCAGGAGTGCGAGTTCTGAGCAACAGCAATTCGAGTCCCGGCCCGAGCTGAGCAGCCGCTGAGCTGCCAACGGGTGGCAGGATGGCTCAGCTATATATAAAAAATAAATCAATAATAAAAAAGCTTTCACTCTTTGTGACTAACAGTGCTGGAGATCGGTTAATCTTTAAGTAAATATATGTTCCAGCTTTTAAACTTTTACTGATATATCCTAGTTGTGAAAAAAACGTTAATTCTTTCCTCAAGTCATAATGAAACTTACAACAGGGCCACCATTCTTTGAGAAAATTCCTAGTTTTTCTGTAAAAATGCTGCTTTCCCCAGGCTGTGAACATTTGCTCTTAAGCAGTTCTTATGGCCGAGTCCCCATTTGTCACTGCTTGTGCCTAGGGACAAGCAAGGTAACCGCCCTTTCGGGAGAGCAAGTTCTCTGGATTTGTTAGTACCGCCTGTAGCCAAAATTTGTGGATTTTGTCTTTCCTTTTTCCTCAAGTAACTTTTCTAAACTTACTACATGTCTTTTCAGGTGTGTGAAGTCTACAAACTTCACAGAGAGACCTTTTACTTGGCACAGGATTTCTTTGATCGATACATGGCCACACAACAAGATGTCGTAAAAACGCTTTTACAGCTTATTGGGATTTCATCTTTATTTATTGCTGCCAAACTTGAGGTAAATGATTTTCAAGTATCTGTTATGTAGCACATGCTTTTTCTTGAGCTCCACTGAGAGTAGAGGACAAGGTCAGCTATTTGTCTATAATGCATATCCTGAATCGTTCTTATTTAATGCTTTCTAAAGTTAAGACACGTGCAAAAAGTGCTAGCAATTAACCAAGGAGGGAGAGAAGCAGCGAGTGTATAAAATGCTTAGGTTGATGTTACTTTCAGTAAAAACATTAAACTCTGACCTAAGAGGGTTAAAACTTTGGTGTGACTGGAAAGGTGGATGGGCCCAATTTTCAAACATATTGCCAAAGGTATTGAAAAGGTGAAAATTTCAAGAATATTCCCAAAGAGTGAAAGTTTGATGGAGCAATCGATCGATTGATTGGTGAGGGTGGATGTGTCGCTTCTTTCATAGCCAGTGCAGCCTGGAGCACCGGGATGGCGCCGGCATCTACCCCTTCGTCGCGCCCTCTCCCTTCCCTTCCGTGCCCACATACTAAGAGGAACAGTTAGGGTGTTCATTACAAGTGTAGACCGAGAGCTTGGCTTTCTGCTAGTGGCGTCTTCCTTCCGTCTCCTTTAGGAAATCTATCCTCCCAAGCTGCACCAGTTTGCATACGTTACAGATGGGGCTTGTTCAGGAGATGACATTCTTACCATGGAATTGATCATCATGAAGGTAGGTTTCAAGTTAGATTGCCGTCCTTTTTTGAATGCACATGTCACGTCTTCATGTTCAGTATGAGTGCGTGTGGCTGGGTGTTTTCCAGCTGGACATTGTGGCATGGATCCCGGCCGCACTTGGAGCCCCATTAGAGGACAGAGGGGAGCAGAAATGTCGTCGTCTTTTCTGAACCGCTGGTCTCTGTTCTCTGTTCTCCCTTAGGCTCTGAAGTGGCATTTAAGTCCCCTGACCATTGTGTCCTGGCTGAATGTCTACTTGCAGGTTGCCTACCTAAATGACGTGTATGAAGTTCTCCTCCCGCAATACCCCCAGCAGATCTTCATCCAGATCGCAGAGGCAAGTGGCCCACGCCCTCCGGGGCGCCTGCTCCGCCAGTGGGCCCAGCAGCTCCGGAAGGGGTGTGTGTTGCCGCCGGTTTCAGTGTTCTCTCCTTCTCTGTAGCTTTTGGATCTCTGTGTCCTGGATGTTGGCTGCCTAGAATTTTCCTACGGCGTACTTGCTGCTTCTGCCTTGTATCATTTCTCTTCATCTGAACTGATGCAAAAGGTTTCAGGTACGTTTGCTGTCTGGTGCCTTCACAGGTGTGTTAACCTTACAAGACAGTTGTTGGCCTCAGGTTGAGCCTAAGGTTTATTTTCATTGCAGGGTACCAGTGGTGTGACATAGAGAAGTGTGTCAAGTGGATGGTTCCATTCGCCATGGTTATAAGGGAGACAGGAAGTTCAAAACTGAAGCAGTTCAGGGGAGTCGCAGCTGAAGATGCCCACAACATCCAGACCCATCTGAACAGCTTGGACCTTCTGGTCAGTACTTGTCCTTGTCCCCACGCGGATTCTAAAAGCTGCCTAAATTCCTCCTCACTTTCCTTCAGGCAGGCTCCTGAAAGCCCAGGAAGACCCCAATTCTTTTAATTCCTTGAAAAAGAAAAGTGGTCGATAGATGCTGCATTCAAGTATCGTGTAGAGCAGTGATTTCCAGATTGTTCTTTGCAGTTTTTCCCCCCTCACCTCCATAGAAAAAAATCACTCAGTATACACATTGTCCCCCGTTTTATTTATTTATTATTTATTGGGGAACGGTGTATTTTTTCCAGGGTCCATCAGCTCCACGTCAAGTAGTTGTTCCAATCTAGTTGTGGAGGGTGCAGCCCAGTGGCCCATATGGGATCTGAACCAGCAACCTTGGTGTTCTGAGCCTGTGCTGTAACCATCTGAGCTAACGGCCGCCCCATGTTCTCCCCTTTTAACCCTCCTCACTTTATCCTCATCAACAGGACAAAGCCCAAGCAAAGAAAGCCATCTTGTCTGAACAGAACAGGGTGTCTCCTGTGCCCACTGGGGTCCTTACCCCGCCACCCAGCGGTAAGAAGCAGAGTGGTGGGCAGGGAACAGCGTGACGCTGGCCTTCTCCAGAGACAGTCGTGCGAAGTGCCTGCCCCAGTCCCGTCCGTCTAGCCGTCTGCTGTGGCAGAGGCCGCGGTGGCAGCCGCGGTGGCTTTCACAGACGTTTCATGGAGGGACGCTCCCCTCCCGCAGCTCCCCTTCCTGTGGATGGCGTTGGACAGGGAGGGGCGTCCTGTCAAGCGCCAGGTGCTCTCTCAGCGGGTCAAGTGCACCAGCCGCCTCCAGAACACCGACGACGAGTGCTCCAAATGCTGCTAAGGTCGGTGCACCGGTGACACGCCTGGACGCCGCGGGCCGCGTCAGGGCGCCTCCCCGCGGTTCTGGGCTGGCTGTGCCCCGACGTGGCTGGGAGGGTCTGGTGTGGCTCCGGCAACCAGCTGTGCTGGGCCCGCCCTTCCACGTTTCTAGTTGACAATGTATAATGCCTTTTATGAACTGTTGTTTTGTAAGTGCTGCTATGTCTATCCGTTTTTTAATAAAGGTAACACTGTCTTTGAGACAGCTGGTTTTATGAGCTACGCCTGGTAATTTAAGTTAGAAGTCAACCTGGAATGTGCTACGTCAGGTTCCCGTTTTGAACTTCATGCTTCTCGAAGCTCAAGCCTTTCAGCAAATATATTCAAAAGAAAACTTTGGAAATGAGCTTCAGGTGCAGCCTGACCTGGGCCTGAGCTTCGAGTGGGCATTTCTCCCCCAGCACGCTGCACGGTGCCTTACCCAACTCTTAACCTAAAAGATTCTTGTGTGGAGGACTCGCTGACATAGTAGCCTTAAACTGTGCTTTGGAGAAGGAAATGCAAAGGCAGTTCTATGCAGCCATGGCCGTGATGCCGGCGTGTGACCTGTGCCCGGCCGTGGATGGCATCGCTGAGCGTCCTGCTGATCACTGCCCACGCCAGGCCTCCTGTGTCCAGTTCATGTGGCGTTCTGTTGGACATTCTCAAAGTGTTGGCCTTGTCAGGTCTTCTGTTTCACTTTGTCACGATGCTTTGGCGGGTGTCTGGGTTCATAAAAGGGAGGGTGAGTGAGCAAATAAATACGCTTATTCTCAACTTGGTATTTTATCTCATTTTGTAAAAAATCTGTCGGAAGTAGAAAGAAAATAACCAAATCTCATTTATTGGGTTGTCAGAAAAGTCATGATGCATTTTTGCAAAGAAAAACAGAAAAAATATGTCATGACTTTTCCGACAACCCAATACATGAGTTTGGAGAGTGACTATACTTTTTCACATTGTGATATAGTTCTGACAAGTTTTAATCCAGTTTCCTAAGAAATGCATTGTAAACCCACATGTAATGGTATTTAGTCAAATGTTACACCTAGCTAATTATTACTTCCATCTTAGGCAGTGATACTCTCACCTTAAAAAGTGAATTTTTAATGGTGATCATTTGTAAGTGACTTGCAAAAATCCTAGAAGTTAATTTACATTTGACATTTTCTTTGCAAAATTATGGCACTAAAAACATTTCATCTTCAAAGTTTTATTATAAGTTTGAGGGCTTGACAAACATGAGGTAACACTGCTTGAGAAGCATGTTTGAGGTAAACATGAATTTATAGATAATTTGGCAATCCATCATGCTGCAGAGTGGTAGTGGCTATGGGGCAATATGACTGCCTTACAGATAAAATTGTTGGAATGCTGCATTTCTGGAAGTCTGTTTTTGTAAGTGGCAGTGTTACCACAGGCAGCTCTTAAACATCTGTGCTAATAGAGGATGAGTCCCAAAAGGGTAAGTGACATAGTAATCAATATTTTCTGTGCCTCTGCCAGGAACCGAAGAGCCACTGGTAAGTAAAATCAAGTTTTCCCCTTTAAGGAGCGTCCTTCATTTGCTAGTCAGTACAAACTTCCGCTCTGGCGACCCATTTCCCAAGTCATTTTCATTCTGTAACTCGGCTGGAACCAGCTGAGGCCAGGTGACAGCACACAGACCCTGGGGTGGAAATGACAGGGCTGGTGAAGCTGGGTGGACAAATGCAGAGATGTGTGAGCAGAAAGGACCCAGAGGAGGCGATGTGGCCACAGTCTAACTTCTGTTAGAGATGGAGACACTGAGCGTGACTTAACTAAGCACCCATGAAGACTTGTAGGATTGTGGCAGATGCCCCACCTCCCCGACTCGCACCCCAGCTTATAGGCTTCGCCCCCAGACCTCAACACAGCTGCTTGCATGTCTGCCTCAGTGCCCGAGAAAGAAAACGCGTCTCCAGGTGGGGCGGTTAAAGGTTTTCCTATGCCATCTTCCTGTGTGGAGCGTGGACAACTTACGGTGTGTGGAGGTCATGCAGGTGCTTTCATAGCGAGTGCGGAATGAGTGATGCTGAGGTTCATGCTAAGTTCTGGATGCAAGGAAGTCACGTCGTGAAGCCCTTTAAGTCCTGGAGCTTAGAGGGAGAGACTCTTCTCTCCAACTTAGACACAAATGAGATTGGAGTTTATTTGGGCAAAATTAGGCTCCCGCTCAGAGCTGGGATGGGAAGAAATCAAATCTGATCATGTCTAGTCTTATTTACCCAACCGCGCATTCTCCAACCACATTTTGGAATTCCAATCACATTTATACCTTGGACATTGTTAGAAGACTATTTTTATCCCTGCTGTAATCATCTAATTTGCTGATTACGGGTCTTAAATTGCCACAGAGAACTCAATTTTTGAAAGAATTGTCCTGTTTGATCAAATATGTTATTCAAGCAATGCAGTCATTTGTTCCACAAGGTTACCTGCCAGGCAGAGCTACCCAGGAGTAATGGCATTAGGAGCCTACACTTAAAATCGCGCATTAGCTAATCCGCCTGTGACAATAGGGTCTTAAATATAATTTGCCACACATTCTTCAGTTCCTGTGCTGACAGACAATTGCATTTCGTATTCAGTGAGCATAGGTTTTTCCTCCCTCGTTCCGATTCCAAATTCAACTCCAGAAGACTAATGTGCTCGGTTTCACAGGCTTACCAGGCACCGCCCACCTGAGCCTCAGACCAGAGAGCAGCGGAGTCCTTTATCGAATAAACCCTCCTCCCGCCCCCTTTTAAATCACTTTCCTGGTCAATGCCAACACCCCAGGTCGTGTAGCATCCGAAGGTGCTGAGGGTCAGGTCTGATGCCAGCTTCCCAAGTATGCGTGAGGCGCCTCCCTCGAGGCCCTGATGTGCGCTGGGCGCTGCCAGTGCTGGAGGCCAAGGCACCACGGGCAGTGGGCGCGCCCAGGCGAGCCAGGGAGGCTGGCGAAGTGGAGCCTCATGAGGACAGTGCCACGGAAAGGCGAGTCACGGGGCCTGCATCCTCCCCGGCGGCCAGCGAAAGTGGTCACGGGTGGCATGGAAGAAGGTGGGAGATGAGGCAGAAGCGTGGACAGAGCACGCGCCACAGGGGGCTTTGGCCTGAGGTCCCAGCGGCAGGGGCAGTGTTTGTGACGAGGGCAGTGATGGCTCAGAACCACACTGCAGGCCGAGGAAACAAGGCCAGGCTGCCTCTTGGCGTCATGGGAAATGCCTGTGCAGTATGTGGGGGGCAGGACGAAAGGCAAATGGGGCAGCAATAAAAATGTGCTGCGTCAAAAATAATTTCCAAAGGGCCGTCCTGCGTGCTGGCCCGCGTCACTCCTCAGGCCACGGTGATCCGGGCTGCTGCGCCTCCGCCTGTCACCCCACCCACAGCAACTGGACCCTCACCTCCTGCAGACACCACGCTGTCCTTGGTCCACACGATGTCCTTTCTTCCGTGGGCACTGGGTGCAGGACCGGCTCTGCCACGTCCCAGTGGGACCCTGGGCACCGTGCTTAACCTCTCCAAGCCCAGTGACTGTGTGAAAGGGGATGGTACTATCAGCATTTATCCCATAAAATTAGGGGGACACGCAGCGGGATAACGCATAAAAAATGCTCACACAGTGCCTGGCACATTAAAAAATAAGAAGAAGGGGTGGTCGCCAGCGTGGTTGTCGCCGCTGCCGCTGCTGGCGGTGGTGCTGAGACAGGCAGGCATGAGCGCTAGAATGGAGGGCACGTGCTGTCCCAGCAGACAGGCCCTGGAGGAGAGCTCTGTGGGCAGGGCTCCCTGGGTGCCAGCACAGCCCAGGGCACGTGGCACTTGCTCTGAGGTGTCCTAGCCTCCCCCACCCCCACCCCTGAACCTGCTCCTTCCAGGTTCACCCCCACCTCTCTCCTCCCCTTCTCGGGCAGCTTTCTTGAAAGTGTCACATACACCTACTGGTGTCAGGCTCCTCTGGTGGAGCTTCTGTCCCCAGGCGCCACACCCTGCCTTCCCCAAGGCCACCGAAACCTGCCATGTAGCTAACCTAATGGCTCCCTGAAAACTTCATCACACTTAGCGCTGCTGACCCCACTTCCCTCCAGAGGCTCGCCTCTCTGGACTTCTCCCCTGCCCCCGCCCCACCCCACACACCAGGTGGCATTCCTTCCAGGTCCCTCCTCTGCTCAGCTTAAGGTGAAGGGGCCACTGCCCAAGACCTGGCCTGGGCAGCCCCTCACTGCCCAGCCAGCCTCACCCTGGGCTCTCAGCAGCAGACTCACCGAAGGTGCCTCCACCTGGCCCCTCTTCACAGCCATGCACACTTCACCATTGCTTATGAAAACTCCTTACTTCACCTTCATATTCTTGTGAAAATGGGAACTAGCAACACAAAATAAACATGAAATCACTCGATGCACACGTCACCAGGGAAAATAAAATAAAACAGTATCCTTTCGCTCCCATCAGACTGGCAAACATTTGCAAGCACAGAAAATAATACAGTGACTACCCGCGGGCCCATCACCAGATTTGCCAAATTGGCTTCAGGTCAATTTTAGAAGAAATACAGTATTACAGATAGAGTCCAAGTCCCCCTGTCTCCCTCCCAAATCCCAAAGAAATGGCCTTTCTTTCCTCACAGGAAACCACCACCCGGAGGCGTGTGGATGGTTTCCAGACATACTTCCACGCTCGTGCCATTTATATTTGGATCCATAAGCAATAGGTTCACAAAAAACACTTTGGGTGTTGTAAAATTTCACACAAATGGGACCGAACCTTACACACCATCATACCACTTACTCTTTCAACATTATTTTCGAGACTTTCCGTGTTGGTACAAGTGGCAGAGTTTTCTCCTGCATGAATGCGCCCAATGTATGTATTCCCTCCCCTGCTGGCCCACCATGTTTCCAGTGTATTTTTCACCACAAACAGATCTGCCATCAACATGTCGTGCACATGTATGCCACGTGTGTGACTCCTCTAGGGCACATTTTCGACGTGGACCTGCCTTGTCCACGGACACATGCTTTGGAAGCTCCGCCAGATGTGGTCAGCGGCTCCCCCAAATGAAGCCAACTTCTACTCTCCGCTGGGGAGCCCCGGCCTCCCACCCCTGCTCCATACTTGGCATGGCCGACCTCGCTGCCCATTAAAATCGCTATAATGTAACTTGACTATTTTTCCCCTGATTGTGAAAGTGAGCGCGTTTGTTATAAGAAGTTAGAACACTATGAACGCTTACAGCATAGAAACTGAAACCCTGCAGAGATGCCATTCTTAGCAGCTTGGGTGATAAAATAGTGTAGATTACTCCACAATTTTTTCTTTGCATACACTAAATATGAATAAATGAAAATATTTGGTATCTTTCTACAGGCCTGTTTCGCGCAGCTGTACCACCTCTAAGTAGTTTGAAGTGCACATGCACACACAAGCTCACTCCCTTGTTGTTTTTCAGTGACGGCCTGCCAGTCAATTTCATCGCTTAGCACATCACTTCAGGGCGTGACACGTATCCGGTGCTGGTTAAAGATTTGCCCCGTGAACGAACAGATAGGTGGGCTGAGTCTACATGTGTAGTCACCTTCACTAAGCTTTTTACTTTTCCATGCCCAGGACGCAGGCTGTCTTCCACTTGCAAAAGATCAACGTTAAGATGGAAAAGCAAGACATTAACAGGAATGGTTCAGGTCCAGTCTCTGTTCTAGTGTTTTTCTGAGAAAAGAAGCCACACACCATTGAATTCCAGCTTCTGGAAGGGTTGCAAGGGTAGGCTGACACTGGGCTGAGCCCAGGCTCCGAGCTACACAGGCAATCCATTTCCCCCAGGACTGTGACAGGCCAGCCTTAAAAGAAAAAACAAATCCAAAGTTAACATATTCCAGCAGTCACAACCTGAGTCATCTAGAAAGTTCTCTGTGCCCCTCGGTGTGAGATGATGATTTGGTCAGTTCTGTGTCCTCCATCCATCCGTCCCAGAGACTGTCCAGTGGTGATGGTGGTGACAGTCCCTGAGACAGTCAGGATCAAGTATAGGCTGCACATCGGGACTGCAGGTCGGTTGCTGCCGTGGGGTTTCGTTGTGTTTGGGCATCGAAGGGGTTTTCAAACACTGAATCCAACCCTTAAAACTTGTGAGAGCTCACACACATACGGCTCCCCTCTCTGGGAGTGGCGGGCAAAGCCCACGCCCTGCAGAGCACCAGGGGCTCCGCCATGCCCTGCCTCGCTCTTGAGGCCCTTGCTGTTCCTCCTCACTGAGGTGCTGCAGAACCTCTTGAGAAGACAGGTGTTTCTTCTGCCTGTGGCTCTCAAAGCTGAGAAAACGGTGTAGATCAAGGAAGCAGAATATTTCAAGGAAAGTGGCAGGGTAGCATATTTCTCCCCGGGTATGCAGAGTATCTGAACATGTTCAATACTTGGGACAAAGCTCTGTGCCCTTTACCCACCTGGCTCCTGCAGGTGTTTGAGTTTCAGATTCCTGGATTTACAGGCGAGTCTGTGGGGCTTTCAGATCATCACTTACCCACTCTGGGCCTCCGGTTCCTCCTCTGCCCAGTGGGCGGGCGGGCCGCAGTGTGTTGTGTTAGCGTGCTTCCAGGTGAGTCCAGCCTCGCAGGGTTAAGAGCTGCTTTCTGTTTCTCTTCAAACTCTTGTCCTCCAGGTGGTCATGAAAGACGAAAGACGAGGTTGGGGTGTTTTCAGGCTTGCAGTTATACTTTAGGGAACTCCCCTGCTTCCTGTCATGCAAAGGAGGTTTCATTTCTCTAGAAGTCAGGAGGGATGGGGGCAAAGACAGACTGGTAGGCAGGTGGGCTGGGAGCCTGCAAGGAGCTGAGAGCTGCCCACCTCCCCTGGTCTTCCAGGCCTCCTGGTGCCCCTCAGGGTGACCTTTGACCCTCAGCCCATCAAGGGCAAGTCAAGGCCAGAGGTGGGGCAGTGTGACGGCAGGGATGTTGCTGGAAAAGTGTCCTACGTCCAAAGGCTGGTGCCTGGTCCTGCCGGTGACCCTGCACATGGTCCTGGGTGGCAGGGACCTTGGGCTCCCTCAGAGCTTCAGCCTGGGGACAGCCTTTGTTCTTCCTTGAATGGAACCCTGCACTGTGCTGCTGGAAAACCTTCTCCCCAATTATGTCACCTTGGCGGAGAAAATGGAGGCATCAGAAGACAAACTGCAGCTGAAAATGATGAGTTTCCAGGTCGCGGCCGTGATTTTCTGAGCTGCTCATTCCAGCGGCCCCTGAGCGATGGCTCCTCTGCGGCCAACAGGTGATGCAGATGCCACTGAAAGAGTCCCGCCCAGGACACAAAGGCAGGCGGGGCGGGTTTATTGATGATATTTCTTTTATCCTCATAACAATGGGTGTCAGTAATCGACACTGAATGTGCCCAATTGATGCTAATGATTTCATCCTTTTGCTTCTGTTAAAAACAAAAAAGGCCTGCCCAAGCTGGTCAGCCCCAGTGTGAGCCTGGAACCCAGCAAGGCCCTGGAGGCTTCCGCTTGGATCTTCTCCCTGTCCTTTGTGCACCCTGGCTCTCCCTGGCAATGCCAACAGCAGTCATGCCTGGCAGTGGCCATTCGCTGGGTGCCCAGGCCCTGCGCCCACCCTCCTGCATTCTGCTTTGGAGTAATCCCACAAAGGTACTCTGACATGGGTGATGCAGCCTCTGTTTGGGCGGAGTCACAGGCCGTGTGTGTGTGTGTGTGTGTGTGTGTGTGTGTGTGTGTGTGTGTGTGTGT